AGGAGAGAGAGAGAGAGAGAGAGAGAGAGAGAGAGAGAGAGAGAGAGAGAGAGAGAGAGAGAACAGGAGAAATAGAGAGCGGGGAGAGAATGGGGGCAATGGAGGGAAGAGAGAGAGAGAGAGAGAGAGAGAGAGATGATGGAAAGAATGGAATGATAAAGAGAGGGGAGAGAGAACAGGGGCCGTGCGCATGCATGCTGATGTGTGTGTGTGAGAGAGAGAGAGGGAGGGAGGATGGAAAGAGTGGGACGATATAGAGAGGGGAGAGAGAACGGGGGGGCGCACGCGCATGTGTGCTAGTGTGTGTGTGTGTGTGTGTGTGTGTGTGTGTGTGTGTGTGTGTGTGAGAGAGAGAGAGAGTAGGGGAAGGGAGGTCAAGAAAAGAGGGCGTAATGAGTTTCTCCTCCACAATCTTCTCTTCCTGTGCTATTACCCTATCTTCTATCCACCCTTTTATTGCATTTTGCCCCACTTCTCTTTTTTTCTTTTCATTGCCTTTTGTCCCACTTCTTGATCATGCAACGTTCTGTGTTTTCTATGGGGTCGAAGCTGCACTCGCTGCTCTTTGTTTCTCGTAAGGATGATTCACAAAGCTGTGTCCTCTATTTGTCTTCTTTATTGAATGGCAGCAGGTGAGGAGAACTGGTCCAGCAGCTGCATCCCGAAGGCGAGTTACTTCACAAGGTATGTTTTCAGAAGTGCATTGTCACTCCCTCCCATGTCTGTGGTTCTACCGGAGTGCAGTGTCGCTCTCCTCGCATGTTCTGATATTCAACCTGGCAAAGGAGGCAGTATTTCTTTCCTCTATCCCTATAGGGCAGGAATCNAGTGTCGCTCTCCTCGCATGTTCTGATATTCAACCTGGCAAAGGAGGCAGTATTTCTTTCCTCTATCCCTATAGGGCAGGAATCAAAGTCTTCGTTTTAACCTTTAAGTGCTTGTCCAGTTTTGTGCCACATGGTTTTGACCCACTGCGCACTTTTTTGAAGTTTTTTCACCCTTCATGACTTAGGCAAAACACAGGCCTGCTTTTTTAAGGCAAGATCATCAAATAGCATGCACGCTCCTTGAAAAGGCACTGTGGTGTCTTATCGCCATGGCCACAAGTGTCAAACATGCGCTTTTCCCCTATGTCTTCTCGAAGTTCTTGCCAACCCCGCGGTCGATTGAAGTTTGTTTTTGTGTGACGGCAATGTGACTGATGGTATTCGAAAGGGCTCTAAAACAGTGTAGCACGCTCCTTGAAAGAGAGCTCGAAAACAGTACTGTTGGATGTGTGATGGCATCATGTCCTGATCGGCGTGTGACACAGGTACAGGTTCATCTGCAAAACACAGGCCTGCGTTTTTTAGGCAAGATCATCAAATAGCATGCACGCTCCTTGAAAAGACACTGTGGTGTCTTCTCGCCAACTCTGCGATCAATTGAAATTTGTTTTTGTGTGGCGGCAATTTGACTGATGGTATTCGAAAGAGCTCTAAAACAGTAAAACTGTTGGATGTGCAACATCATGTCCTGATCGGCGTGTGACACAGGTACAGGTTCGTCAACGCCTGCCTTTGGTAGCGGCGCTGTAGGTGGAGGCGACAGTTCAGCAGCACCTGCGAACACCGAGCCAGTGCCGACAGGGAACATGTACGCCTTGTTGGATGAGAACAATGAGTAGCGGTCTTCTTCACCGCACCCATTTGTCTCCTTACGGTGCCCGTCCGTACATCTGTGATCAAGATCGATTCTTGGAGTCGAGAGCAAATGATTGGCTCCACTGCTGAGGACGAGAGTCAATGATATCCCCACCAACTTACGCATCCATCTTGCTCGCTCGACTTTGACTATTCTGTTGAATTATGTCTTGACAGATTTGCTCGCAGGACATGAGGACTAACTTCGACTAAGGGTTTTGCGGAGGAGGAATGATACGACCTCCATGCCTGATATGATGTTGAGTTGCAGACAAGTTGTCACACTGCTGGTATGTGTGGAATCCTTTGGTATGGGTAGTGCCTGTTCACCCGGAACTTGGGCGCCAAGCATAGGTAGCTCTTTTTGCTCTCCGCTAGCATAGAAACACAGAGAAGATGAGCCACGCGCGTTAATAGCAGTACACCGTTCTGCAGATCGTTACCAGGTCTGAGGTTGTTGTGAATCGCAATAGAAAGTAGCTAAAGATAAAGAAGAATGCCACATTGTAATCGCAGACTGATCCATTTTCAGTCCTATTGCTTGAAACACTTTGCTTTTCGGTTCTGCATGCTTGTGAGAGGGATGGAATCAGGTTCATGTCATGCTCCGTTCTTAGATGAGTTGCATCCTTTCCATGGGTTCTGTAGACATCTAGAATCATATGACAAATCACATGGCCGAGAGAGAGAGAGAGAGAGAGAGAGAGAGAGAGAAGGAGGTTCTTGTAATGATCCGTTTTTAGACGATCGCAGTGGCATCTGATACCGGGGATTGTGGTTTGTGACGCGGGAATGATGATGTTCCATATGTGAGTAGTATAGCAAAGGAGTAGTGTACTTCAACCAGTGATGGTTGTGACCCTGCTCCAAGGCACGTTTGATCAGTGTGCCGTGTATGTCTTTGGAATTCATGACTTCATTCACTGAGGCATGAGCTGCTTAGCAGGATTTTCTTTACTCACACATTCACGTGCACAGAGACTTGACTCACACATTCGCGTGCACACAGAGAGAAAGAGAGACAGAGAGAGAGAGAGAGAGAGAGAGAGAGAGAGAGAGAGAGAGAGAGAGAGAGAGAGAGAGNAGAGAGAGAGAGAGAGAGAGAGAGAGAGAGAGAGAGAGAGAGAGAGAGAGAGAGAGAGTTCTAACGCATAGGGATCACTACTTGTTTGATGGAAGTTGGTGTTAATGCCCCATGTTGTGATCAGCACATCTCACAACGGCGTGGTTTATTATGGCTGTCCAATGGTGTTGATCTTGGGAGTTACTGCCTCCTTTATCTCCCAAATTGTTGTATGGCATGTATTTTTGGGGTCTAGCCTTAAGGTACATTCTTGACTATGACTACTTTGTATCACTGACATCATTCGCGATGCTGCCATCATGGGCGTGGGGGCCTTCGTGCAAAGTCCATGGATTGGTCTTCCATTGACGTTGTCTGTGTGTGGTTCAAAATGAATGGTGAATCAAGGTGGTGTCCATGGTGGAGGAACAGCCTGGAGGAATACTGGTTGAAGTACACAGCCTGGTGTGTCAAGGTACTGGTTACCCATGATGTGAATTTGTATGGTTAAGAAAGTTAGCGTAGGAACGTAGCTGAGGCGGCACACAGAAGGAGAGAGGCGATTTTGATCGAGCCTTCCACTGCGTGGAGAACTGGAAGCCGTGGACAGGTGAAGACGCTGACAGAAACTGCATATTCAAATTTGCAACCACGGACAAATTTATGGAAGCATGAGAGGTTCTCTGCACACTGTAAAGCGTTTCATTTGGGACTCATATGCCATTCAATGAAAGGCGATTTCTGGCCTTCACCATCTCTGAGGGAGCAAGGGAGAGGGAGGAGGCGTGTGTGTGTGCATGAGAGAGAGAAAGAGAGGGCCATTGATCCGGATTGATCTAAGTGTGTTCATGTGTGTGTGTGTGTGGAGAGAGAGAGAGAGAGAGAGAGAGAGAGAGAGAGAGAGCCCTCATGAGGACCGCAGTGTGAAATGGCTTTGCTCAAGCGTGTGGAGTATGGTCTGTACTACTATTTGATAGTTTGTGCACATTCCCCGAGCCTCGTGCTCTGCAATGGAGTCTACTCGTCTTTCTATTAACTTGTTCTGGTTGTATCGCTGTACGTAAGTGAGGGGGCAAAAACCCACCATCAACACCTGTGGCTTCTTCTATCCCCATCTCATTGTGCTGGTCGTGAATACTCACTCCTTCCATAGACGATGACTAGGGTGCGCTGTGCATGCTCCGTGTCTGGGGGGATCGGCAAAGCAGTTCTGAGTTTCCTTTGGAACTGCGTTTACATTGAAGTAGTAACGGTGCATTCTGAGACGCAATGCCTTTTTTCTCCCACTTCTCTTGGGAAAGCAGGTATGTCTCCCTTTTCGCTTTTTTCTCTTATGTCCCCCTGTTTGCTCTCGTAGATATTATCGTCTGTTTGTATGCACGTTTTGCTTGCATTGGAGGCACCAGGAACAGAAGGCGCTGGAATAACAGACCCAACCAAGTTCTTCTCTTTGTTTTTGTGCATCAACAGACCCAAGTTCGAATCCCGTTGCAAATTGCAATCAGGTTTTTTTTTTTTTTTTTTTGCCAGAGGCATGGKGGAAAATGCATTTCATGGAAATGGCACCCAGAATGACGATGTTCAAAGAGCTAGTTAATTTTTTTTTGGCATCCGTCTTCACCCGAATAGAACGCCCGGTCATTATAGCCGTATACGGGGCAACTTTCAGTCTAGATACAGCGATAATGACCGGGCGTTCTATTCGGGTGAGAAGACGGTAGTGCATGTCACGGATCAAGTCACAAAAGAAAAACTCGAGAAAGAGAAAAAGAAGACAGCGAACAGAAGGGGACTGAATGTCCTTCCCAGATTTTAAGACTGGCGTCGGCCCAATGTTGATTGATGCACACAAACAAAGGTCTTCTTTTTTTTCTTCTTTTTTTTTACACAAACAAACAGAGGTCTCAGGTTCTCAAACTGTTGGGGGAAAAAAAAAAAAAAACATTGGACTTTATTACAAGTGCTGGGAACCCTGCTATACCCCCCTTTAAGGCCTCTTTTCTGCCAGTTGGCCCTCTCACCGCTTCAAGCTGCCTGATTAGGTCTTTTCTAAAACTGGGGCTAGAATGTCCTCTCTGCGTGGGTTGAGCATGATGACGTTCGATGTCTTCTTTGAGGTAGGGTTACCCCCCCCCCCCCGCCCCCGCCCCCGCCCCCCTCCCCCTCCTCTAATTTGCGGTACGTACAAAAAATGTGGTAGGTACTGGTGGTTTAACTGCCTCCTTGATCATTTCTTGTCGCGTAAGTCCCCCGATGCGAACGTTGCTTTCCCTTTTGACAGCCTTTGCCATTCAATTGGGATCGCCTCTCTAATGAGATCTTTATTTTTTTTTGGTAGGTTGTGCACCTTTTCAGTGCGTGAACTCTTTTTCAGACTTCCGTTTGTTTCTCACCCAATTCTCAATATGCTGCCGCTGCACCCGCCATACCCCCTTTTGGGGCCAATGACATCATTTCCTATCTTTCTTGGAAAGTGACATCGATGGGCTTTCCATTTTCATCTTCAATCCAGGGGTTGCCAAATAACGGTTGTCGCAGACCTTCTTCATCCGTCCTTGTTTTTTTCAGGGAACATTTTTCCCTCAGAAGAGTCCAGAGTATGAACGAGTTTCTTTGAGAAGGGTTTGCTCTTATCGAGTCTTATGTGTTTCCCTTTCATCGCACTAGTTCTTTTTTTTTTTTTAACAACTGCCCGTATGAGAAATTGGGGCGCTGGTACGAGCAGACACCCCGGTCTCCCCCGGGGAGGCTCCGTCCGTCTATTGGTGGGGGAGCAACACCTGCTGGCTGTGAGGTTTCAGTAAGCTAGAGCAATCAATGAATTCAATCCCATCGGGCCATCGTCAATTTTCAATTCCCATTAGCTAAGTGTTCAGTCTAGATAAGAGCTGGGATGGTTGGATTTGGCCGGCGGCGTATTATCTTGTTTACTTACCCTCTCTCTAGACTCAATTATATCTGGAGAGAAAGAAGAAAGTCCATGGTATTGTTTCAAATGAGAATCATGGTACGCGTAATTTTAGGAAAGCAGGGCAAAGTAGATGGTTAGGAAGACGACCCGTTGTTCGTGGTGTTGCTATGAATCCTGTAGACAATCCTCATGGAGGAGGCGAAGGGCGTACGAAAGGCGTCCGAAGGTCCATTTCTCCTTGGGGAAAACCAACCAACGGTGGATTTAAAACAGTATTAAGAAAACAAAAGAATTACGTTCTGTCACGATCTATATGGAAAGGTCCATTTGTAGATGCTTGTCTGTTGAAAAAGCATGCGCGTGCATGTGGCTCGCCAGAGTTGGAAATTTTGGTCACGTAGATCTTGTATTTTGCCTAAATTTGTCGGTTACTATGCACAAGTTATAACGGAAAATGTTTTGTTGGTTTATCGAAGTTCTTAGCATGATATTAGAACCTACTTATGAACCCCGCTTTTCCACTAATGCACATGGCTTCGGACCGGGACGCAGTGGTCACATGGCCCTTATAAATTTATGATGTTATAATGGGTACCTTTCAATGTATATGTCGATCTTCTGTCCTTCGCCTGAACCTGTGCCTTTGTGGCTTGGCAGCTCGTCCAGTGACGGTTGTAAACCCCTGGTCGGTATTGGTAGGGTCTTTGGCCATCACGAGGGTAGGGGGGGGGGGGGGGGGGGGGAGCGGAGTGCGCTGGGGGTTTGTGTGTGGCGTGTGAGTGCTGTCCATAGACACTGCTGTTACTTGATGGGGTGGATGAAGTAGATGTGAGGCGCAGCTACTGGCAAAATGCTTGGGTCTTTGCGTTAGCTGTCCCCCACTCTGACTACCACCGATTAGGTTGAGGGGGCAACATGCGTCCCCTTGATTGTGAGAGGTAGGTATGCTTGCACAGGTCCCATATATAGGCTTAGGAGTAGTGTTACGTAGGTTAAGTGAGGTGAAATTGAGAGAAGAATATAGCTTCAGGTTAGCAGTCTGTCGAGATGTTTGAGAAATTTCAGTCTTGCTCTTTATATTTTGTCTGATCTTCCTTGTGTGAAGCGGACTTTCGCTCATTGTCTAACAGCTGTTCAATTCTTTGCATTCTACGAGGGAGATTTGACATTTTGAAAGGAAATCTGAAATTTCAACATTTTTTTCATTGAGCTCCCGATCATTGCGAGTCTTTTAAACCAGCACTGTAACAGGCTGTCATTGTTTATTGCTTTTCGCATACCAGCACCGGCGTTAGGCCGAGGGGCAGTCGAGCAATGGTAGGGGAGGGCAGGTGGGCTTCCAGGAAAGGAAAAGGTACCGCCCTGTTCGTTGTTCATGCCAAATGACGTGACGCGACATGATGAATTGTAATGTAAGTGGGGCTGCGTGGCATGTACTGACGACGAGAATTGGAACTTGCCCAGAAAGGAAAACCATAACAACTGACTACTAAACTTAACCAAGAAAAGAAACTACTAAACCCTAAACGGAAAAAGAAAGAAAAATCGGTACCTGAGACAGATGAGAAGAGGGGGGGAGGTCTTCTTTTTTCATTGGGAACCAGTACCATTCTGTTAGTGGGGGTGATATGAGCATCCCCATCTAGCAGGTCCAGTCCCGGACGCCCCAATCGATTTGGGGGCGGGGTCTGTTAATGGGGGTGATATGAGCATCCCCCTCTAGCAGTTCCAGTCCCGGACGCCCCAATCGATTCGGAAGAGGGGGGGGGGGGGGGGGGGGGGCAGCACTTGCGGGAAACCGGGTCCAGAATCGGAGCATCCCATATCCACTTCAGTTTTGTTCGACCACCGGGGCCTTTACCCATATTCAGCTAGAAGAAATTTTCACGGAAATTGAGGCCCTGTCTAATGATCCAATTTTGTTTTGCTCAGTAGCACTAGCTTAATTCAAAATTCGGCACTTTCTAGTTCCCATCGGCGCCGCCTTTCGGGGTTTCCTTAGGGACCGATTCACTTTGCGTGCAGAATCGTCCCTGGATGTCCCATCCATAGCCGTCCTGTGTCTATTGTGCATGCTTGATGTAAAGACTTCTGGCTCTTGCTTGGCTGTGGTCGGTTGAAGCCAACTATTGTCCACAGGCATCGAGTAGCCGGTCATGGTTTGAGCAGGAAGGAGTAGAAGAGCTATGGAGGCGCGGTGTGGATAACGCCTACCTGTGATGTGATGTGATGTGGTTATTCTGTGAGAAGAAAACTTCAACTACATTGCATATTTTCGAGTAGTAAATTAATAATATTATTCACCTCTGTACCACTGCAGGCCCACCAATAACAGACCGTGTGGTGGGAAATGGGGTCTGGAAGTCCGAAGCTGGCCGCAGTGGGATTGTTGCGACCTTTGATGTCCAATTCTTGAAAGGTAAGACTGGTGGCCGCAGTGGGATTGTTGCGGTCACTGATGTCAAGTTCTTGAAAGATAGTCTGTAGTCTCAGTTGGGATCCGTGTAGTCTCAGTTGGGATCCGCCTCTTCATCGTGGTTGCCCCTCCCAGCGGAGTTCGGCTATCCACCTCCCTCGTTTGCTCCCCGGCCTTTGCGCTGATAATCGTTGGATTGCGGGTCTTATGTTTTTCTTCTCATGGTGACTGTCTAGTTTTGCTTTTACCTCAAACCATTGAACCCTTGTTTGATAGTCCAGTTGGATTTCTTGTTGGATGGTCTCCATCGTTTCTTCCTCTGTTATGCACACATTCTTCCCCTGTTAATATGCGTTTTCGCCAGAGGTCCCTGAGGACTGCTCTCTTCCCCACTTTGGACATATTTTCTTAAACCACCA